ACTTTACCTAATAAAGAAAAGGTAGGCTATACTTTGCAATTACTTCTTACTAATTGACAACTTATATAAAATGCAAATACATTGTTTATTTATTTTTCATGTTATCCAAGCGGTTATATAAAAAGTCAGTGACAGTGTTATTGAGCGATAACACAGATTTCCGATATGTCACTTGTCAATAAACAACTAATATCACTTTTATATGCATGCTCAACCACACTTTATAGAAGCTGCTCCATTTCATGGAAATGACCAGCGCTCACGGATATAAAGTTCCTTCACTGCAACCAACAGCAGCAACATAACTAGTAATACGGTCAGAATGTGTTCCATTTTGCTTGCTCTCATCTTTAAACCACACTTCTCCGTTAAAACACCACACACAAAAACGCATTTTTGGCTGCTATTTTACATAACATTTTTGTCTCATGAATATTCAAAAAGCCAAGCTGTTCGACTGTAGGAAATGTGACGAATTAAAAAGAAAATTGTTTGAAAATCTTCTCTGAAAATATATTATATAGGGAGGTTGACATGAAATCAATGTCATGTGAGTTGAAACAGCACTGACCATGGTCCTGAAGTAAGTCTTTGCAGTATTGGGCTTCAACGCCACTATACGGTCAACCTGCTTAAGCCCTCTGGGAAAATCTCAACAGTATAGGGCAATGTGACGCTTGCCATTGTGCTGAACTCAACAGTCTCTGGTTTCACTGCCGTTCTTCTCTATCAACCACCATTTCCACGCTGAACTGAAAATAGCTCTTGGGTATTGAACAGGTTTATGAAATGGCGCTCTCCGTGGTGCTGAAGTCAGGCCTGTCCCAGTTTCTGCGCTGTTTACTATCAAACAAGCATATTTTTATATATCATCATTATTATCATTTGCATTGTTTACTAAAGGGGCTTTATATGTTTTTTAAATTGCATGAGTCAGTTTATTGGTTATTGTTTTTCTGGATACATTACAGTATTTTAAACATTGAGTGTCTTGTCTGGCTTTGAAAAATGTCAATTAATGGATGGTTGTTGCTCTGTGAATATTTAGCCTAAGGTTTAAATGCTCAACACTGGATATAATATATATGTGAGGAACTTTTAAGTATTTGTTCGTGATTTGAGGCCAATCGTCGTATTTGGACACATAAGAAATGATTTGTGTATATATTGCAAATGATTTGACCAAGTAAAAGTCGAACTTACCAAGCATTCACCACAAGATGTCGCTGGAGACCATAGATCAGAAGGTTTCTGTTTATCTAAAACTCCTCCTCTTTAGATGGGTAAAATGTAATCGTCATCGGCCATTATAATCTCCGAGACACTCGATGGTGTTGTGACCAGAAAGGCTAAAGCTTAAACGGAACTATTTGCTTCTCTAGGAATCACCTATACAGGGGATTAATGATTGACTCGGTTCGGCTCTTTTACTGCACCAAGGATGTATGTCCCAAGACTAAAGGAACACGCCTGGATTCATATTTTTGCGCTGCTTTGTCTTTGTGACTGCTCTGCCTCTCAGATATCCTACTCGGTTTCCGAGGAGGTGAACAAAGGCACCGTAGTGGGAAATATTGCAAAGGATTTAAACCTCAATGTACAGGATCTAGAAAACAGAGATCTCCAAATCGTATCGGGTTACAAGAAGAACTATTTTGACGTGAATTTGCGCACCGGGAACATCTTTGTTGATGAGAGAATAGACAGAGAAGAGCTTTGTCCGAATACGGTAAAATGCTCCATGAAATTACAGGCCGTTCTGAACAACCCAATGACTGCATACCGCATAGAAGTAAATGTTTTAGATATCAATGATAATTCCCCTGTTTTTATTGAACAATCACATGTATTAAATATCTCCGAATCATTGTCACCGGGAGAGCGATATCTGCTCCCAATAGCAGAAGATGCAGACATAGGGAGCAATTCAGTAAAGAACTACAAGCTGGCCAAAATGAATATTCATCCTTGAAGTGCAGGCGGGAGAAGCACCCCGGTGTTCTGCTGATAGTGCTGCAAAGCTTAGACCGAGAGAAACAGCCGATATTAAACCTTCTACTGACGGCTGTAGATGGATGTAAACCGCCTAGATCAGGAACACTGCAGTTAATTGTTAATGTTATAGATGTCAATGATAATACACCGACGTTTAGCAAATCTCTTTATAAAGAGAGTGTTAAAGAAAATGCGACACCCGGAACACTCGTAATTAAATTAAATGCAACAGATTTAGACGAGGGCATAAACAGTAAGATCCTGTATTCTTTCATCAAACGAGGAAATATTGATCCATCAAATAT